CGCGAGGCATAGGCGGTGGCCCACGTCGTCCATGCCTTACGCCGCCCTTGGTCATAGAAATGATGTAATTTGAATATAAATTATTTATAAATACGTATGTCAAGTTATATTTTTATTACTACGTAAAATATATTAAGAGTTTATGACCACTGAGCTGGATGAGACGTTGTTGAAACAAAAAAAGTTATGCATTCTATCACGTACATAAACAGTGTCGTAATTCGCCAAGTGCAAATCAGCAAATTCGTAAAATTTTTGTTTATTTTGAACAATCCGGATAATCGAAAATCTGGATAATGGAGGTCCAGATAATGGAGGTTCTACTGTATTTCTCTTTAATAGTTTTAAAGGCAAATGATTTTCAAATGAACAATGACAATGATATGTAAATTCATATGATTTTTGCAGTCTTGATATTTTCTTTTTCTGAATCTTAGTATACCTTAATATATGTAATCTGTCAGTGTCTTTCTTCCTTAAATGGATTGTAAGAGCTTAAGAGATAATACAGATAATAAAAAAAATTCAAATCTTTTATTTAGTTTTTAAGTAAATCATTGTATAGAAGATTTAATAGATATTTTAATAAATGTAAAGAAATGATTAGATAAAATGCTGAATTCAGAAACCAAAACCAAATTTTATTCAGAAACATTTTTGTTCTTTTAGAAGAATATCATCAGCTCAAAAAATTTATGAAATATTTTAGAATAAATGCATTAAAGATGAATATTGTTACATTTGAATATTTAAATATATCACCAGAAAATTATAATTATACAAGGATTAGTAAAATAAAGTAATAAATAAGTAATAAAATTAGTAAAATAAAGTCAAATCCAAGTAAATAAAATAAAATAAATCAAATCAGAAAATGAACAAAAAAGTATTACATAAAACAAAATAGTGTCAAATGTAATGGTTAAGTGCTAAATATAGGTTTGTGGCTATCCACACTATATGACATTAAACCAATATCTCATCCTCACAATGTTTCTAATGTTTTCTAAAAAACATTAGAAACATTGAAAATTGTTTCTAATTTAGAAAATTGTTTCTAATTTAGAAAACATTAGAAACATTGTTTCTAATGTTTTCTAAAAAACATTAGAAACAATTAAATTGGGCTTGAATAAAAAAAGTTGTAAACTTGAGAAAGTTAAATGTCAGTTCATCTACTAATATAAAAGAATCATGAACATTATTTGCTCTAATTTTGCATGCAAAAGGATAGACATATATATAGCACTGTTCTATTAATCAGATCATATGTTTATCTGTCCAGCTTTTAATAATTATAATTATAATTATTAAAAGCTGGACAGTTATTATAATTATAATAACTGTCCAGCTTATAATTATAAATAATTATAATTATTAAAAGCTGGAAAAGAAAAACCTGTACTTGTGTATCTACTGCCCATTGCATCAATGCCATGGCATTTTGCTTACTATTTTATATAGAGTTATAATGTTCCTTAAGATGCTGCCATAATATTCTATACATTGATCCTACGTAATAAAATCTTTCTCTCCCTTATGAAGCTTTATATGTCTGCCATATAAATGGCAGACATATAAAGCTTCATAAGAGAAGGTAAAATAAATGAGCTACAAAGAGAAGGTAAAATAAATGGATATGTCTGCCATATAAATGGCAGACATATCCATTTATTTTACCTTCTCTTTGTCTGAATGAAGTAATTGCATGATTTAGGGGAAACATTTAAAAGTTAAAGCAATATTGTTACACCTGGCATAACAGGCCAAAAGGGATGTTATCTTTACACTGATACATTCAAGAACCTTGCACATCTTTTTAGTTGTATGTTCAGCTTTTTTTACAATTTCTTTTAGATCCTGTTTCATATCTATTAAAAACTGCTTTAATAAAGCCTTTAATTACATTAGGTGGAATCAAGATTAATTGCAGTTTGTACAATAAATAAAAATTCCTGCTGTCTCTGTTTTATTAAAGAATAATGTGTTGTTGCTTTCTTTAGGAGCATTTAGAGCTCTGATTAATATTGTAATTCTCAAGGCTTCAATTATTTGGTTTATCTTTATAAACATGGGAGTTAACTGCTTCCTAAAGGAAAAACTTGAAGGGATAAATTATTGATTGTAGCTGAAATTTTCCTCTTGAAATTATTCTGTTTCCAAAGTTATCACAAAGCATTGCATTGAACAAGTTGCAGTATATACTTTTGCGTTATTTTGTTTTCATTAAGTTTTACAATAAAAGGTTCCAAAATTTCAGAACAGTACTGTTTAGAGTTTAGGCTTATTCATACATAAATATACTATAGAAGGACATTTCTAATGCATTAACTTAGAAAAACTAACCAAATTAAAAATATGATTTAACATTTTTATATATATTAAGAATAAAAATCATATAATATTAATGTATAGGCATACCTCGACTTACGTCGTTTCGAGTTACGTCGTTCCTGATTATACGTCGTTTGTCAAAAAAGTATACGGAAAAATAAAAATCAAGTTTAAGTCATTTTATTCGACTTTACGTCTGCCCGCCACAAATATTGAAGTCGTAATATCACTAGAAAAACGTTTAAAGCACATAAAATCATATTAAAATATATACTAGTATGTTCTGTATTTACAGTACATGCATTTGTAAATTTAGATTACTTTTTTTCTGTACTATATTAAAAACTAAAATTTATTTGTTTGTAAGCTTAAAATAGATTTTTATTAACCATATATTATTAAAAATGCATTAATAAATAAAATACAGAACCGGGAATGGTAATTTACGGTTTAGCCTAGTGATAAGTAGATTCGGAGACAAGTAAATTCGACTTACGTCGTT